CTCCCTCCCCCTCCCCCTCCCCCTCGCCGCACTTAGCCGTTTCTGTTTCCCTCCTTTTTTACTTTTTTACTTTTTTACTTTTTTTGTCCTTACGACGCTCCACTGAGTTTCAGGACAAAGACGGTGGTAGGAATTAATCGAATGCTCGATGTGTCGAGCTTCTTCTAATTTTTCTTTTGCTTTTAGTTGCTACGTTTGATCACGTTCCCTTCTTCGAAAGAGAATTAATGATATAATACGATATTCTGGCAAATAATTGGGAAAAGTTTTCGAAAAGATTTTACGAATTTAGTATGTATCCTCTCCTCTCACAAATTAAATGTAGTAGATTAGAAAAATCAATGCTGATAAAATAAAATTGATCATTTGAATGAATTATTTTTACGTAAAAGTATCTCATTATAAAGTTTTAAGAGAAAAGAATAATTGAAAATATTAATGTTTGAGAAGTAACATCTCTGAAGTTGTTGAATACTGGTCCAGGTTAAGGAGACTCGTTAAATCGGGCACGGAAGGTCTATCCGTCTCTCCTTTCCATCCCTTTTTCTCTTTCTCCTTTCTCGAAGTGAACACACTCGGTTACCGTTCGACTCGTTCGCGAGAGAGACGACCACGATAAAATACGACGATGTGGTTCGAGTAGAAGGTGCTGGCCGGGCTGGCTGGCTTGCTGGCTGGCTTCGTAAGAACTCAACTTGCGTGAGTTAAAGTCGCGCCGATTAAAAAACTCATGAGAAAGAGTAAGATAGATATATCTATAGGATAAATAGATAACGACTATAAAAACAACGTCAAAAGTTTTACAATCTGATTCTTTGAAAGTTAAAACTATCCTTGATGCATATTTCGTATGCCGAGTTTAAAAATATAATTGGTTTAACGTTATCAGATCTAGTTTCTAAAATTGCTTGTAAATTTATGCTATGGTGCTGTTGGACGATGTGTAATAGATTAGGATCGTGTTTATTGTGGCCCGTTAATTAGATTCAACTTTAAATTTGTGAGAGGAGATACACCTGTGATCCAAATTTAATGGACTTCCGGTGTCTACATTTCCGTTAGATAGGTTTTTTCCTCTGATGATAGGAAATTGTAACAATTAAAAATTTGGAAGGAGAACGAGTTAAACGTTAAATTCATTCGATAGTAGTGGATTCGAGAGTGAGAGAAAGTTAGCCTGCAGACGGTTGCTAGCCTAAGGCTACCTTCGTTCTGCTCTCATCGCAAGTTTTGAGGATGCAATGAGGATAAATCGGTCAGCAGAAAGATCTTTCTTGATAAAACATTTCTATAAGTTATTCACCCAGTTTTTTTTTACTCTATAAACGTTACAAGATTTATTTATTATTCACATGCACATCAACTTAATTATATATATTTTTTTAAACGATACACTTTTTGTGTTGCATTCAATTTACATCCTAAATTCATATTTGCAACACAGGCACACAACAACAACAACGTATATAATAATTAATATAAAATAGTAAATTATTTAAAAGAAAGTAATATATCTCTATTCCTATAACAAATAAATCACATCTTGACGAAACTTAACTCTTGTATTTAGATTTCTTGACCATTTATTTAATAAAATCTTGACTAAACAAATAGGAATGATAAGATTAAATATTATCTAAATTTAATAAGAGAAAAATATAGTTGGTATTTATCGTATTTTAAGTGAAAAACGTTAGGCTGTAGTGGACACGAATGTACATACTACCTTCTAATGAGATTAGCTACGTCCGCGATAGATTAGACTGATTAACCGAGCTAGTCTATCCTCTACGGTTTATCTGAAAAGAGGGCCGAAGCTTACCTGTATGTTTCTAAGAAGATAAAACATGCGGCTCACTGCTGTAACACGATAATACTCCGTAGATAAGACGGAACGATACGTGCCTCGAAATCGTAGAAAACACGAATGAGAGAAAGAAGAAAGAAAGAGAAATTCACCCTTTTCCGGGTGTGTGTTAGAATATTTTCATTGGCGTCGCAAAGAGGGACCACGTGCTACTCCATATTAACAGCTTCAAATACTACCTATCTATGATATGTTAATAAGTATTAATATGTAATGCTTATACTAATACATATATGTGTCTAAATAATCTGAAATAAATGTGCATTGTTGTTTAAAAACTCGGAATATATGTTTTGTGTACCGTCCTCCTCAAAATTCCCCTAAGACGACTAAAAACGATGCCACAAATGGACACAATAGATAAACCTGCATGTCTACAAACATAGTTTGCTCGAAGTCATACATAGGGTGGTGCGGAAAGAACTTATGGGACAAACTAATATATACAAAAGCAATAAGAAATGATGTTGTAGGTGTAAAGCAACGGTACCTTAGTGTTCCTATTGTGAGAACAAACCGACCTTACGAACTCTCCTGCAATCTGAACCTCGAAGCGTATACTAAACATTTTTAAACGCATTTATTGTAATTCACTTGCCACGATGCAGTGTTAGTATTGTACAATTGAATAAAAAAAATACGCGCCACCCAACAACATCGGACACCCCATTATGATTCTTTTCACATCATACTATATTATTTTCCATTTTGATTCGCGTACAATAATTATTCTAATGAAACGATGACGACGATCGATCGATTATTGGAATCATTTATTTCGTGCTCTCACTTGACCTTGTCAGTCTGAAATTGATCCGACTTATATCAAAAGAATATTTGGTCTAATTCGTGCACGCGTGCGTATGAACTATAACTAACATAATTTGATGCTTATATAAGTGGTTAAATAATATTGAAATAAAATAAATATATATTATATCGTGTGTTTAATTTTCGAAAAGGGATGATTATATTCGATAATATACTTGGAAGTGAAATATTTCATCCATGATTGGGATTAGATTTTTGTAGGATAGTCTCGAAGGGTTAAAATACTAGAAAAGGAAACCTGTTCGTTACCCCGAACTATTTTTCTGACTCAGAAGAGAGAAGAAGGATGTGTGTTAGAGTTTCCGTAAGTGTGTTGCGTGTGTAACGCGAGTAAGAATAGACGGAGGGTCGAACAGTGACCACCAGTCCTACCAGTCTTGTCTGGTACGTCCATTCTGAGAAACCTGCAACCAAGTTTAATAGCCGATACACGCGGGAGAAGTAACAAGTCCGTTGTCCTCGTCTAAAGTTCCTTCTGATCTTGCTCGAGATCTGTCTCTTTCCGAAAACTAAAACCTTCCTATTATATCCTTATTTATCGATTAAATTCCACGAAAATTTCAATAAACTATCTATAACTTACTCATTAAATTCATCTACTTTTTATTGTCAAATTAATGAAATACAAATAGAAAGGGAAGGAATCCTCGAAAAATAATTATCGAGTTATGACTATTGTTATTTCTCTTTTTTTTCTCTCTATCTCCATCTCTTTCTAGATAGATAGATAGATAGATAGATAAATTGAAAGAAAAAACTGAATGAACCGCACAGGAAACGTAATCACAATACTCGTAAAATATACTACGTTACGGTCTGAAAGGTAAGCGTCAATCATCGACATGCGATTGGTTGCAACAGGTGGTTGTACTATACCGCAGACATACATGCATAACTCTTCACTATATTGCGTACACGTTCATTCGAAATAATAAGTTCTTCCCGTTGAGTTGTCTCATGCAACGCAAATGTAATTCTCACAATAAATATTACTGAAATAAAATAATCGCGAAATGATTTCGAATCTATGAAGCGTATTTGAAAAAATTCAACCCCAATCCTCGATTATACCTGAATCCTTTAATCTTTCTCTCGCGTTGGTTTCAATTAAAATTCATATTTAAATTATGATTCAAATAAAATACTTCAAGAGTAAAATTAGGTCAGACAAATTAAAAAAGATATCGAGTTGCTTTCGAAGCGAAGTACATAATATGTTTAATGTAAATTATGTTATTTTCGCATATATTCGTTAAAATTCACACGGTGGTACGAACGAATGTATTATTTCGAATGAACAAATTTTCTCCCACAATATTGTTCTCCTCTTCTTCCGATCTGACAATCGCACAAATGTGGCTTTGGATGTTTCACACATTTATATACCTGCTATGTATATAAGTATATAGGTATGAAGGTACATATGTATATATATATATATATATAATACCTGTAGAGTGACTCAGAATGGAGAAAGTAATTCATCGAGTAGTCTACGGAAGATAAAAAACAAAAAGTAAAAAAAAACCCCGTTGTCTTCGTTTTTTCATTTCGTTTCTTCCTTTGTTTTTTTTTGTTTGCAGTTAACAGCGTCGAAAACGAAAAAGTTACGCAAAAGATTACGCGTAGACAACTTTTTTTTTTTATAATGTTCAGTTCACGATAAAATAACGAAAATAAAAAAATGTAAAATATAAGTCGTTGTAAATATATCTACGCGTGTGGGCGTGTATATTATCACGGTTTATATTTTTTACTCATATTGATTTTATTATCAATAAAATAAAGAACATAAAAATTGTTGCGCGAATTAATAAATGAGAATATAAATTATCATAATTTTTGGTAATAAAAAAGAAAAAAAAAAAGAAATATATATATATATTAGGTGGAGAGATCAAAATTTCTTCTTCGTATTTTTCTGCTACGTTTAAGATCGCATAAATTTGAAAATATTAATCGGATCTGGCAATAATATATACTTGTGTGCATTTCAAGGCTGACATTAAAATCATATAAATCAAATTATTATGATCGTATATTTTTTTTCTTTTTTTTTCCCCTCGAAAAAGCATGCCAATGTTCTATTTTATCGGTTTAAAACATATTAAAGATAAACAGAAGGAAGAGATCATCAAAGAGGTCTTCTTCTTCTCAGAGAGAAAGTTTTCTCTTTGGGAAGACCTCTTCTTCAATCGCACCTCTGATAATGCTCGACGTCACGCGATTTAAACACGCTTACTTGTGTTTCGATCTTTCGGAACACGAACGAACGATTCCGCAAGAAACCAAATCGCGAACGAGTTTTCTAAGGGATAAAGGAGAACGTGCGCTAGATATCTTTTACAATCACATTCACGAATAACAAACAAATAATCTAGAAAACCAAAATTCTTTATAACAATAATTACATTCGATTATTCCTTCGATCTAATATGGTCTTTTCAATATTTAATTAATATATATACCTATATAATTTTCTAATTTTTATGAATCATATTGTTATTTATTACGCCTACTGCACGTGGATTTATATTCTGCAATATTGCTGTGAGAATAAAAATTAGATTAAGGTTATGGAAGAAACGATTGAAAATAACGTAAAGTATAGTACTCTAACAGTGGTGTATTAACGTTTACCTTAAACTTAAAATACAGTTTAGCGAAGCATGGGAGCAACCGGCCTCTGTCGTCGTCGTAGACGTATCGTCGTACAAATAAACCATGGTAAAACCGGTTTTCGTTAGATATAAATTATACGTAATGCACTTGAAGCGTTTTAAATCTGGTCGTACGTTTATTCACTTATTCTACAAGGGAGGACCTACTTTACTTTTCTTTTTTTTTTTATATCCTTCCTGCAGTGAACAGATGCAGAAAAAAAAAAAGAAACGTCAACGCTTAATACAAATATCGCGAAATAAATCAAAGTTACAATCGAATCCTGTTAAAATGGTTTTTTTTTCTTTTTTAAACAAATGTTTATGATTCCCTTAGGCTAAGTATTATTTGTGGATACGATAAATCAATCGGTTATACACGGTGTCCTGTAATCTGTAATTATATACGAAAATCTAATAAGTCGTAAAGATGCAAAGTAAAATTTATTCGTATGTGATATTATTTTTTAGAAAAATATATTGGAAAATTTGTCGAATATTTATGACACAATTTTTCATCAGGTATAACATTTATTTCCAAATTGTATTTATATAATATTACTTGATTAAAAAAATTGATCATATATTTTAAATTTACAGTTCGAAACAATTCGATACCTATACAGAAATTCATTCGTATCGATCTATAATCTCACGCGTGAATGGCATTTAGTATCGAGATTGTTTTCTTTACGATAGGATCTTGAATATTTATACTGCTTATTTATAAATACGAAATACCGATAAATTGTAATCTTAACGATCAGGTATAATACACATCGGACGAACACAAAAGAAAAAGAATTAGAAAAGGAATGCAGACGCATAGGAAAATAAAAAAGAAAAGTATATTAAACTTATCCTTTCACTCACGAATGAACAAGGTTGAATGAATGAATAGTTCGAAGAATAGAATTCTTTATAGGATCAGGAAGAGAAGACTTACCAAGAACAGAAAGGCTGAGACCTGAACCAGGGCGAGGCGGTCTCTGTCTGTCTGGGGGCGCCATGGTGATGATCTTTCTCAGATGATCAAGTATTCGTGTTCTTTCCCTTCAATTCAGTAACGAGTTTCTTTCCTTCATCTCCAGCACTAACACGCACTTATTTCTTATTTCACTGACACACACACATATATATATATATATATTCTCACAATTTTTTTAATTTCAAATATCCGATCACCGAAGGATATTTCTATCCTTGTGCTTATACAAAAATTTCGATTAAATTTTTATTATTAATCACAATAATTATTATAATAACAAACACTTGTTGATACTATCTCTCTTTATATTTAATTGATTTCTATACATCACAGAAAAAATAATTGACGATAATAAAAGAAAAAAATAACACACGCGTTGAGAATGTCGAAGGATAAAAAACGAAAAAAGGAAAAAACGTAAGAAGACGCAGACGCAACGAAGTCCCGGCGCACACTGTCGTGAGCGAAAAACGGGCTGACGGTGATTGGCTGGCCGCGTTCGCATTCGCGCCTGCGCTCAGTCATCTTCGATTATCTTCAGTAGCTGCGCCGTCGCAGTACCGCTCCCACTCCATTCAGCATTTTTCTTTTACGCGCAGTGGCGCGAATATCAAGGGAACACAAATGTGTCCCATTGCTACTACCTTTTATTCGCGAACTTCTTTTTGTATTGCTATGCATGTATGTAACTCGTTCGACTCATCCAATCAAACGGAACGCGTCCTGGCGTGTTATCTTTATTTATTTCTTTTCTATATTTCTTTATTTCTTTTCCTTTGTGCACAAAGAGAGAGAGAGAGAGAGAGAGAGAGAGAGAGATACACGCATACAAGTGTACGTACATATATACGAGAAAAGGAAAGCATCGTGAAACAGGTTAAAGTTTCAATCTACCTTTCGATCCTCTCGACAATGTTAATACCGTTCGAGAACGTCGATTACGTAGCTCGAAAGCAATGAGCTAAGAGAGAAGTGCATATGGTAATAATATGCTAATTGGACAAATAAAAATCTAATGGGAAATGAAAGAATAAAGATAATTACAAAAAAATTCAACTTAATGCGGAACTTGATCGAATAGAAAATCACTAGTAGAAGAAAAATATTCTCACGAGACACGATTTGAGACTTATAGTTTACGGATATTACTATCTATATAGATACAGATATAGATATAGATATATATATGTATATAGAGAAAAGTTGGAAGTTTTACACGTCCATTGCACCTTTCCACGTAGGCCAGTGCGGCGGATGCGGGTGGGCGGACCGGGATTCGAGTCTGCAGCGGTGCAACCAAGGCCCACGCAAAACGAACATCGGTAATTAAACGAGCACCTCGCTCGAATCTCGCAGAGTGAGAGTCGCCTTTCTTAAACTATCTTCGATCTTTCTTCAATAACTGATATTTGAGTATTCTATACGGGTATTGGGTTACCTGGAAAGTTCATACCGATCGATATTTATTATTTAAATATATTTTTTGTGTACCAAATCGATATGAACTTTCCTGGCATATCTCGTTAATTACGTTTATATACTACGTAAGTTATCTTGTTAATGGGAAAATGACTTTTTCATTTTCACTTCATAGATAATGTGTGGTCTCGTTTCATGATTCATAAACGTTTATCGAAGTTTCTTCAAGTAAATCATATACACCTCTGTTTTAAAGTACTGTTGATCAAAGACACCAAAGGTGGGAATGCACCCGAGTGTGTCCGAGCCGGTCCTTATACGGGTTCGCTGATTCGAAAGACAGTATTCGGTGGAAAAAAACTTCTCCCTGCTACGTACTCTGTAAGATACCTAAATCTTTTCAAAGAAGCCATCACCAAATACGATCGTGTACGATGAGAGAGAGAGAGTACATTTATATATACATATGTACATATATACATATGTGTATTGAGAGAAAGACAGTTGCAATAATTCATTTTAAGAAACAGGTTTATGAATGAGGTAAAGTAAAAACAGGAACTAGTATTTGATATTATTGAATGTAACTGTTCGGTAAAGTGTTGATTATTACACTGATTAAACTTAATGAAGATAATAAAAATGAAATGGTAATATTTATTATAGATTTTAAATGGATTTTTTACCATATTTAACCGTTTGCCCCCGAGGGCAAATTTTTCTATAATATTCCTTAGGAATTTATTGGATGCAATTAAATGCATTTTTATTTGGAAAAGTGTCGAAGAAAATCCTACCGGCGGTAGGAAATTATTATTCGCGTTACTTTAAACTTCACAGTCGTATTAGGTACAATTGGATGCGTGGGCATTGGTTAAACGTTAAATCGTTCTGCTAATCGTCACGATGGCAGACGAGATGCGACGAGATTGTTCGCCCACCAACGAATTTCCTGCGTAACCCTAACAGATACTGATCGTTTAGACCTAGATATCGTTCTATTACACTGAAATTCATTTAGCCAATGTTTTTCTTCAATTGAGAACCATTCGAGCTTTCTTTCCTTGAGTAATTCTTTATTTAAGTGGACTACTTTCATTCGTAGGACACCTTTTGTACCGGTGTCCGATTCGAGTGAAACGCATCGTAATTACATCTCACAATGAAATACTACGTACATTTATATTTTGGCTTTTTTAGTTCACCGGTAACTATGCAAATATTATAACATGCTTTATTATAGACTACTTCCGTCTTTAGTTTCGTCATTTTACGTGTGAGAGAAGAATCAATCGTAATTATATTTAACAATTGTATGCTAATTACTACACATACATACATACATTTTTCCTCTTGATTCATTTATATTGTATAACTTTATCACTGAAATGAGTATATTTGAAGTATGTGTGTTATAATATAACACCCCGGAAAGTTTTGACCGATTAATAATAAAAATGTAAATCGATATGAACTTTCCGGGCAAGTTAATACATACACACACACACCCTAAAAACATTATTCGTTAAGTATATAGGTAAACGTAAAAGCAACGCATGATCGCCCACACGAATACTACCCACTTAAAACTCTCGTAGCTGAATCGAGACATGCTCTTGGTCTTACGAGAAACATTTGGCCTGGTCTCTTAGTTCATTCATTCCCTCGTATCTTTCTTTCATTCAAGAGTCAGTAGTAGTCACTTGGATCGTGAAAGCGGGGCCCCGTAACAACGACCCGTAAGAAATCCGTATAGAGGAGGGGTGGGGCGTAACGGAGCAATACGCAAAGCACGTTGTGTGAGATAGATATGAACGGTTACTAGTCTTATCTCGTGTGTTATAGAAGGGAACTGGAATAGGAATATGTCTCTTGAGAGAGATCGAATGTGCTTTAAAAAGTAGTGACAGTAAATAAATATATTCCGTAGAACTGGAAGTTATTCTCTTCTATACGTTTATAATATAAACTTGTTCAATTTTTTATAAACGAAAACACATTTTTATATATTTTTTCTTTTATGTTTATTTTAAAAGAATAAAAAAGATGACTAGGGGTTGTCTGCAAAGATAAATCGAGAAATTACAATAAGTAAGGAATGTGTTCTTTTTCGTGAGCAGATAAAAAGAGCATATATCAAAAGTATTTCTTTTCTATAGAAACATTTATAATATTAAAAAGTAACAATGTAAATATAGAGAAGAGTATTGTCTTTTACCCTATTCACAAAAAATACAAATACCATCTGAACCGTAAGAAATTTTCCGTGTCTTTTAATTACTCGTATCGTTTAATTAGATATCACTCTAGTATATAAATAATGAAACGTATACTTGACTAACTAATATCATACATGCTTGTAACACGATCAGCCAGTTTTGCAAGAGAGACGAGAAGAGTATTACGGGGTAAATCACGTGCGAAACAAGGAACGACAAAAAGTAACGTTCGAATGGGTCAACACCGAGTATTACTGTGAGTACTTCCATGTATTGCATATGTTTTTCTATCAACACATGTATGCATATGCGCATATACATATATTGTACATACATGAGAAAGAACATATTGCTTTTCACAATATCGATCGGGGTGAGATACATACAAGAAAACGTTCTCGCTCTCGTGCTTTTATCTCGTTGAAGGTGACGCGTAACACGAACGCAGATTTCCACCTGGTACAAATCCTACAGCAGGTTGCGCAGTCGGTTGCCTCGGGGCCGGTTTGATGCAACCTTTCTCTCTTTCTATCTTTCATATGGTTTCAAGGCGATACAGAAAGAAAGAAAGAAAGAAAGAGAGAGAGAGAGAGAGAGAAAGAAAGATCAAGAAAAAAAGGAATTTAATTCAACTCATTTTACCGTACAGAATGAAATCACTAAAAGACGCGTCATTTTCGCACCATTAACGGTATAGTTGGCCCGATTATTATTATCCGTATTATTTTGTTCGGGGATTACGTGATCACTGAGATTTTAATTGATCTTCTAATTTTATAAACAATATTTTGTTAATTATTTAAAACTGAAAAACGTAGCAATTAGCTCCTGCTTTCGTTTGATGGATTATTTGCATACATTAGCATGTAATATTAATTTATATTAAAAATGAAGATGAATAAAGATTGAGATAAAATTATTCATTTAATGTTAAAACGATGAAGTTATGTATATAAGAAAATGAAAAGAAAGATAGGCAGGAAAAAGTGAGCGAGCAGTATTGCTGGATTCCCACGAAAGAAAAAAACTTGATAGATCGTAACGATAAGTGTGGACTTGTAACGTGCATGCGACGCCGGCCAACATTGTACCGATTACCATCTCTTTGGGTATGTCTTTTAGTATACCGGGTGTCAAGAACTTCTGGCCAACTTTAAACAGATGTACCGATTCGATCGATAAGCAGGACGGTTAATGTATGTCATTTTCTTTTCTTTCTTTCCAGATATTAATTCTCAAATGTGTTCATAAAAAAATGTTCATTATTTAACATATTAGCAAAATGTTCCTGTTGACACTTTGACAATTTTATAACAATTTATTCAAATTTTCTAACATATCCAATATTATATTAAAACAAAATAAAATCTTCATCGTTACTACTGCACAGATATTAAATATATACAAATAAAACAAATACCTATCGAATAACATGAAAAGAATATCTACAGTCGAGATAATATTTCATATATTTTAAAGATGAAGTAATAATAATGATATCAGTGTTTAAACTAAAGATCGTAAATAGTTTAGAGAAACCAATCTCTCTTTGTAGGGTACTTGCACGTAGGAAGGAAAGTAATTCGGAACGTTGCAAAGTGTACGATCACGATATGAACGATATTATCTGCGAATGTGTATATCTACGAGCT